GGAATGAGAGCTATGGGGAGAGGCAGAAGGGTCCTCGGAGGGCCCAGCGAGCGCGGGAGGACGGCGTGGACTCTGTGTGTGTGTGTGTGGTTTGTGTGTCATGCTCAGTGTGAGTGTGGGGGAGGGTGGCGATGCTGAAACCGTCCTCAGCTCACAGAAACTCACCCACGAATCAATGTCCATGCTGACAGTCTGCTGACGGCGCGATAGAAGATGAGGTGCAGGATTGGCGGAAGCACTCGACCGGTTCTCCCACGACCCCGGGTTCTCCCCGTTCCGTGAAGAATACGAAATCCTCCTGGAAGGTGCGTCATGCCCGCTGTGGCTGGAGGCATGCATTCTTCTCGTCGTCGTTGGTAGCAGAAGCGTGGTGCCATGGAGGAGCACAGGACAGGACACAGGCATTGCCCCATGTACCACGCATCCTTGTATCACGCAGACACATGGCCACACACAGCTACACACACCCACGCACACACACCCGTTGTCTGTTGCTTGATACGAGCCGTGGCCTGGACACACTCGCGCTCCTGTGCAGTAACAGAATCAATGTCCATGATCAAGGATGTCCGGTACGCGAGCGCTGTGTCACACACACACGCACATACACGCACACACACACGCACACACACACGCACACACACACACACACACACACACACACACACACACACAAAACACGAAACACACAACGCATGCCACGCACGTGTGAGCTCAGTGGTTATGGCAACCAAGCGTGCAGTCATAACACGTGCAAGCAGCACACGACGCCACACCCGAGTCACCGCAGCCCACCAGTCACGAACATTGTGCCCACTACACATCTGGCTGTTGATTGTCTCGGAACAAAACATGCGCACCTGTGTTAAGGGCCTTGGCAGCATTGTTGTAGCTCTCCTGCGCCGTGATGAGGTCTTGTCGAAGCGCCTGGCATTCTCCCAGCAGTGCCTCTTCCTCTTGCTTTCCTTCCTGTCGCACGCACACAAGCACGAGAGCATGAGTGTACGTGAGAGAGCGACCAGTGTGCATGAGAGAAGGAGGGATGGAGCGAGGAAGACAGTTGGTGAGAGGCTGTGGTGTTTGTGTCGAGATGCAATGGCCTCAAGAACA